CCAGGTATTGAGGTCAGGCTGATAGGTCTGTAATTTCCTGGGTCCTTTTTCCCCCCCTTTTTTCAAGATGGGAACTACATCTTTACTACTACTACTTTAATTGACAAATTATCATTAGCTATCATTAGCAAGAAGAGCTGTTTCTGGAAATAAAAGCAAGTGGATTAGAAAGCTGAGAGGAATAAGGATCGTTCAAACAATTTGCACAGCTCGATTTATTTTCCACTCTTTGAGAAGTGTCAGGCCATAACTAACTCCCTTGGGGCCATAAGCAAGAGGAGAAAGTTACTTGTCAAAGTTAGGTATTTAATTAAATATCCAAGCTGGATTACTCAATGAAATTCATATAGGTATAACATGTAATTCTCGGAAGAACCCATAACTGTTTATTATATCTGTATGTTGCTCATCTAGAAAGTTCTGAGTAGCTCCCCATCAGAAATGTCATAAAAGCCCTCAATAAAATCTCAATATTATGTTTTTTTTTAAAAAAACAAAAAAGTGCCCACCAATACATCCTAACATTCAAAGCATACCTTCCTCCTAGGCCAGTGGTGGCGAACCTAAGGCACGCGTGCCAGAGGCGGCATTCAGAGCCCTCTCTGTGGGCACGCACGCCATGCCCCGGAGATGGCAACTGCCCCTCTTGAACCAGCCGCCCGCTAATTCGCTGAGGTCCCACGTGACCGGATGCATCCCGGCACAGTTGGTTTCCTTCCCTCTCGTCCCATCCCTCCTGGTCTCGCATGCTCTCCTTTCCCGGGCACGACCCACTGCATCGCCTCCTCAGCTGTCGGCCAGTCATCCAGCTCAGAGGTGGCTTCTCTGAACTGCTGGCAGCGGGCTGCGGAGCCCCAGAGTGCACCGGTCGAGGGGCCGGCAGACTGTGGCTGCTGACGGACACCATTGGCCCCCATGCGCTCGCTGGCATCTGTGTGCGCGGGCCGATGGTGTCAGGCAACAACCACCCCGGCCCTTGCCTTACCCCATGGCAATGGCACCCCCACCCTGCCTACTGTCCCACCTGCCAGAGACCCCCTGGAACTCCCCCAACCCTGCCCATCCTCCACAGGCATCCCTCCCCACAAGCAACATTGAGGTGACCATGCCCACCTTGCCCACACCCACCCAATCTGTCATGACCACCATAGCCACGTCCACCCAGTGGGCCATGCCCACCTGGCACCCAGCGATAAATAAGTGGGTTTTGGGTTGCAGTTTGGGCACTCGGTCTCTAAAAGGTTCGCCATCACTGTTC